AATAAATGTTTTGTTTTGATTTATAAGTTGTTCGGGTTTTTCCATCTAAAAAAAGCGACATTAATTTCTTGACGACCTAATATATATATAGGTACGTTTTAAAACAGAAATTAACTCAGTATTGCAAAGTATGTATGCATAAGCAGATGTAATACTCTATAGAATTCGTTTCTAAGTAAATGGTTGTAACTTGTATATGTGATCTCTCATACAGAAGTGTATATAATTTTAAAGCACTCAACTAACGTGTTGAACCATCCAAAGAATTTTGAAACATTTGTTAATGACTGGTCTATTGAGTTTTCTGTCCGCAGTGTAATAGGGCATCTTCATAATTGTCCAGTGGCGTCCTCTGTAGATTTTACCAGAAAAAAGATTAATCTAAGCAACTTTTCCTAAAATAAGTTTTAACTAGTACCTATTTTACCCGAGATACAAGTTAATGGTATTTTATCGGAGAAAGATTCATACCAGTGCTTCATTTAGAAGTTTTAACTAATGCTTATTTTACCAATAGAACAATTTAATCTGTTGTGATTCTACTAGAGGAAGGCTCATCGAAGCGGTGTTTTTCTTTTCTTTTTTTGGGTGAAGGGGGGGGGTGCAGCATGATCTAGTACTTATTGTTCCAACAAGGAGTTAGCCTTTGATGATTTTAACAAAGTAAAGCTAATTGAAGCAACTTTTTCCGAAGAAAGTTATCATAATATTTAACGGATTTCAATTACTTGACGCTCTTAATAATATACCTTGAAAGTTGAATTTAATTGTTTGGAAGGGTATTTTACGTATTATCTATCGTAACATATGTTGCGTATAAGGCGAATTAAGGGACATGTGGAGCTCATCAAAAAAGTGTTATTATAAATTGATTTGTTCCTTTTACCTGGCATTGATCCAATTTTGAATAAAAAGTTAATATAAACCAATTGATTCATTTTACCCAATATTGATACAATGTTGGGTAATTTGCTACTTTTACCCAATATTGATCCAGTTTGCAATATATTAGCATAAACTGATTGGCTCCTTCGTGCCCATTATTTATCCAATTTGTGATAACAAGTGAACATAATTTGATTGGTTACCTTTATCCACCATTGATCCAGTATGAGGTAACAAATTATCATAAACTGAATGACTACTTGTATCCAACATTGGTCCAGTCTGAGGTAACAAATTATCATAAACTGAATGACTACTTGTATCCAACATTGGTCCAGTCTGAGGTAACAAATTATCATAAATTGAATGACTACTTGTATCCAACATTGGTCCAGTATGAGGTAACAAATTATCATAAACTTATTTGTTCTTTTTACTCAGGATTGATTCTGTTTGGAGCAACAAGTTAACATAAACCAATTTGTAAACTTTACACAACATTGATCTAATATTGAGATAAAATTTCCCAACAGTTATTTAAAGTATACCAAAATCTTTAGAATATAAACACATAATCCCCATTAAATGGCCTGTTTTGTATCCTCGTCAACAGTGGTTATGTATCCCGTTCAGTTACTCAAATAAAGCCGTGGGCGATATGTCTCTAGAAGCAACCAACTGGCTGGGTTCTGTTAATATAACTGACGCTGGGATATACATAGACTACGGGTTATTGTTAATCCTTGGAGGAATTCCTTGGCAGGTAAGCTTAGTTGCTCTTGTTCCTTGTTTATACGATTCCGATTTATTTTATTTCTGAACGTATAATGTATATATATATTGCATTCCTTCGTTACTATGTAAACTAGAAATAAGTGATATTGTCTTGTTTATCTGGGGGTACAGAAAAATATTTGTAGTAGAAGGTACATATTATAGCAATAACATTGTCATCAAACTTTTCACTAATTTTGTACTTGAAATTTTGCTTGTTTGGTATTAATCACAAAACTACATAATAGGGTATCGAAATCCGAATTTTAACGTTGTAAGCTGAGCTATCGTAGGAGGGGCTTATACTTGAAACTTTTAAATACGTTTACCAACGAAATGAAACAAACATTTCAGATTTTATCTCATACACAAGAATGTATCGTATTCTTAAAAGACAACAGCGTTTTAAAGAAAAAAAGGCATTATTGTATTTAATTGTATTAAAATTTTCGTTAAAGTTGCATCTTTATCACTAGAGATGGATTCGTGTCTCAAGGGAAATCCAAGATGGCGTCCAAAACAGGGGACAAAGAGAGAGACATGAACAAACACACATGCGCAACAGCACAGTAGAATTGGCGTAAATCTCTCCCATGAATTCTATGGTATGCATAAAAAAATTTTATGCCTGCACAAAACATTATTTGTTCCTAATAAACACCCACTATCGCGCTTTTATTTTTATTAAAGAATCGACTAAAACTTAATATATAAATAATGCATAAAGGATTATCAATCTTATCGATTGCTTGAATAGTTAGTTAATTAAGAAATGTTAATCGCTGACAGGCTTATACGTATTTAAAGGTTTAATTACTTAACACTATTTTAAATGTATCTAGTTTACTAAGATCTTCACTACAGGTGATCAACAAAAGTTGCTCTGGAACAATACAATAAATTATATACACACATTTAAGCAAAGAAAATAAACTCTTTTTTTTCTTATAGTACGATTGACTATAATTATTGATGTCTTCATAATTAAGTTATTTGACTAAAAATATTCAAACGAAGGTAAATGTTTAAGAATATTAGCACATGATTGGTGCACTCGTTTACACGATGTTTAAACGTATCATTAACTATTAAGATATCAGCCCTTGAATTTATTTTTATTGTGTGTTATTCGAGCGACAGCTTCGTTGTTGATGTGATCAAATTCTGTTCTTCCTGGCCTGGCATGGCCAGGTGGTTACGGTTCTCGACTCGCAATCTGCGGGTTCGAATCCCCGTCCCACTTAATATGTTCGCCTTTTCAGCCGTGAGGGCGTTATAATGTGACGGTCAATCCCACTATTCGTTGATAAAAGAGTAGCCCAAGAGTTGGCGGTGGGTGGCGATGACTAGCTGCCTTCCCTCTAGTAGTCTTTTACTGCTAAATTAGGGACGGTTAGCTTTGTGCGAAATTCAAACCGTTTTTCCTTAACCATCACTAAGTAACCGTAACGTTTCTACATATCGTAGGCCTACTGGGAAAGGTTTGTGTCAGTTGACAGTTTACCGCTAGTAAATACCATTTCCGAAACGTTAAAATAAGGAGTTTTTATTTTTGCTTGAATCCGATTTGAATTTTCAGTTGCGAAAATAAATGTAAAACTTGCTTCTGTACTTCTAAACTCTATAGAATATACTAGATAGTTAGATGACACATACCTAAACTTTTCTAGTATCCACGATGGAGCGATCTACTTTTCGCTTCAAAATAAGTTACGAGTCATCACTGAAACTACAAAACGAACTTCAAGTTGCTTGTGTTTAGAAAGTGAGAAAACGTCTTCAAAAAAGGCGAAACTTTACTGTAACACACAGATAATTATGAAAAAAAAAGATTTCTGCGAAACACTTTTGCTGCATGTATGCTTACACATTTACAATTATTAAATATTTCTTTCGCTTTACTGGCCTGGTTGTGATGGGTACGAACGTCGAGTTGTATCTTTTTCGCATATGAATAATTGTAGGCAGTGTAGTAAAAGTATTTTTACACCTGCCCGTTTTGGTAATGGCGGCAGATTTCCCTTGTAGTCACAGGGTCACGTGATAAATACACACTCTAGTGTTAAAGATATTACTCTATGAGCCCTAAAAATACATCTGTAGTATTTGTCTTTTTTTTTCTTCAGAAATTTCCTTGTTATCTTCCAGAACCAATATCATTTAAAAGTCTTACCTTTTAAGATATTTTGATAAATTACTCAGACCCATCACTTTCTTTTTTAGTAGAACATTCTCGAAATACCACGTGTGTTGGGATTCTGGATTTACCAAGTATTATGCTTTTTCTTGTGACTGGAAACCTTAATGGTTGGCGTGGTTTGAGAAATATATTTACAAAATCTTCGTTGCAAGCAAACACATAAAGCAGTACTTAATGAATAACTGAGTATGGACATTAGGTTTTTTTTGCTACTTGTTATGTTATTAATTTTTAGCTAGCGTAAGCTATATACCCGTATTCCTGAATTGCAAATTTACGTTTAGTTACACAAGGTATAAACAAATTATCATTAACAGTTATATTTGTGTGAAGAAATATCGTATTTCAAACTTATTCTTAATATCTGGCAAAAAGTTTCTGGTTTTAACAATCCGTTCTTTTCACATTCTTTCAGGTATACTTCCAGCGAGTTCTATCTTGTAAGAGTGCTTTTAAGGCCCAGGTTCTTTCGTATGTCGCTGCATTTGGCTGCTTAGTTATGGCTATCCCTCCAATGATGATTGGGGTTATTGCCAAGGCAACAGGTAAGAGGTTCTAACCCTAATTCTTTTCTTGAAAGTTAATCCATTGTAGGATAATCCACCTAAAATGTCTTTTAATCTTTGAGACTGGACTGTACCGAGAGGACTGAGCAATTTTAACCAACTAGCTAAGCTAAAGGAATCAGCTTTAGAACTAATTTGTAATAGCTAAGACCAATTTAAAATTAATTCAGGCTTACAATTAAACAAACAGGCAATTTTTACCCATTGTTAAGAGTCAATATTGATATAGAGTTTGGTAAAAAGTGACTAATGTAACCAGTTGGTTACTTCTACCCAACAGTTATCTAGTTTTGATTAAAACCAGAAAGTAACCTAAACTGTTTATGTACACCATACACTTCGCTTTGATATTTAGATATAAATTATCAAAGATTTGTGCAGATTTAATTATTTGTTTTTGAATTTCGCGTACAGCTACTCTAAGGCTATCTATACTAGCCATCTCTAATTTAGAGGCTCAGCATGTCCAAGTGGTTAGAGCGCTTGACTCGCACTCTGAGAGTCGCGGGTTCGAATCCCCTCCCACCAAACATGCTCGCCTCTTTCAACCGTGGGGGCGTTATAATATGACGGTCACTCTCACTATGCGTTGATAAAAGAGTAGCCCAAGAGTTGGCGGTGGGTGGTGATGACTAGCTGCCTTCCCTCTAGTTTTTCACTGCTAAATTAGGGACGGCCAGTGCAGATAGCCCTAATGTAGCTTTATGCGAAATTCAAAACAAACAAACTCTAATTTTGGGTTGCTATTTTGAGAAGACAGCTAGTCAACACAATTCATCGCTAACTCTTGTGCTACTATAATCAAACAGTGCGATTGACCGTCACATTATAATGCTCCCACTGGTGAAAGGTCGGGCATGTTTGGTGACGGAATGTGATCCTGCGACCGCAGATTGCGTATCGAATACTTTTATCACCAGTCCAGATCGCTCTATTTCTGGAAAAAAAAAAGAGAAGCATTTTCATAAGAATTTAACTTATTTCAAAGTCTGAAATGCGTTTATTTTCAAATATAATTTGATACTTGCGTAAATGTAATATAGTGTATTTTTGAACACCACTAATCAACATCTTTAGTTCAATAAATGCTAAGATTAAAAACTAATTGTGCGTATATATCGAACATAAATAAATAACATCTGTGAAAAATTCAATTTATTAATAACAATGTTTCACACGTATATGCTTAAATTGTTTAATGTTTCAGTTAGTAAGTTAATTAGACGTATTAGGTTAGTCGTACGCTGCACGTTTTTCATTAAGATTAATCTATTTTATTTCTTAGTAAACTAATGAAATAGTTATTTGTTCAAAAGATTCGCTTTGTTGTACTTGAGTAGGTTATTTGTTTACAATTTTATCTTTGCATTGTTATTACGTCACATTTATGTACGATATTCTGTTGGCAGCTTGGAACGAGACTAGTTACGGTGAGCCTCTAAAGCCAGACGAGACTGCTTTGGTACTCCCTCTAGTGTTGCAATATCTTACTCCTTCAGCTGTGTCATTCTTCGGACTCGGTGCCGTCTCTGCTGCTGTCATGTCCTCTTCTGATTCCTCCATTCTTAGCGCCAGTTCCATGTTCGCCCGCAACGTTTATAAGTTGATATTTCGCCAAAATGTAATAGACCACATTTTTTTTAGATTGTATATCAGTATGCAATAAAAGAATCTTTTTTGTGTCGCGTGCTCGTGAATAAATTTCTGAAGCTTATTACTATTATCATTATGCAAATTGGCAAAAAAGAAACGGTATAGATAATAAAGAATAATTTTAGTGTTGAACAAAATAATCAAATTAGGGTTGCTCAAAAGACTAAATACAAAGTTATTGAATTTATAAATAACTGTATTTGTTTTCACAACGACCTAAGAATTTGTTCACTAGTCGTAAAGTTTGTTTTAAGTGGTTTCTTTCTACAAATAAAGGGAGTTTTGTTAGTGTTTTTTACTTTGAATACAGTATATAACATGATACTGTTATCTTAAATTGTCCCACAGTGACACAGCGGTATGTCTGCGGACTTACAACGCTAGAGTCCGGGTTTCGATACCCGTGGTGGGCAGAGCACAGGTAGCCCATTGTGTAGCTTTGTGCTTAATTACAAACAAAGCTACTTAAATTAAAGATATAGTGATGGAAAATTAGAGTTTAATTCTAACTTACTAATTCAAATTATTATTATGCTGATAAACCACGAGGTGTTTTCAAATGAGTGTAATATGGGTCAAATTTTTAATTTTTCAGGCCTCCGAACGAGAAATCGTATGGGTTGTTAGAATTTCGATCTTGTTTGTGGGTACACTAGCGACAGCCATGGCTCTAACAGTCAAGTCCATCTACGGACTCTGGTACTTGTCCTCTGACCTCGTCTACGTCATTTTGTTTCCTCAGCTGATATGTGTCGTCCACTTCAAAGAATACTGTAACACTTATGGGTCACTATTAGCATATGTTCTCGGTTTCTTGATGCGAGCTTTGGGTGGAGAGCCCATCCTGGGGCTCGAACCAGCCATTCATTACCCCTTTTACGATGAAACTGGCGGCCAGCGATTTCCTTTCAGGACTTTTTCCATGTTGATCAGTCTGACGACCCTGTTGACTATCTCAGCCTTTACCAAATGGGCGTTCGAATCGGGGCGCCTTCCAGCAAAACTAGACATCTTCCGTTGTATCGTCAACATTCCGGAAGATGTTGTCAAGGTCCAGGAACCGCAGGAAGGAGAAATGTCAGTTTTAAATACCAACATGATTAAGACTTACCAAACAGAAATGAACGGACGAATCAACCCAGCATTAAATCTCGGCAGTGAAGATGAACTAAATGACTCTCCCAGTAACACCGACATGAAGGACCAGTCGGCCCTGGAATTAAAAGATGGGTTTGCCAAGGCTATAGACACCACGAGTCTGTGAGGCACGCAGTGGGTAATATAATATCTAATTCCAAAATTTGTCCCAACACGTATATGTGCATGTATATTTCCAATAACCTGTAGAGTTACAGTAGAAAATGTCAGTGAACGTTGAATTCCAAGCTGGTGTAGTGAGAACTATCTGTCTTCTTATATTGTAGTTGGCAAATAACCAATTTTTAGCGTTTTTGGTCTTTAAGTTACGTCATGTCATGTAAATCTATATAGTTGAATCGTATTTTTAGAAAAAAGATATTTCAGAATTTTTGTTATTTAGTACATTTGAGTTCCATATAATTTCGTACGTTAAATACGCTAGTGATGAAAGACGAGGGCAGAATTATTCATACAACCAATACTTTTTTCATCTTTCAAAAAAGTTAAGGTTGTATACGACAGAAATTTATCTCATAAAATCTGTATCCCTGATTATTGTGAAAAGAAATACTGCTCCTCACCCACAGGAACAAAACAAACCAAAAACTATCGACTACGGAAAGTGGTTAACTATTAAGTGTTGCTCTAAGAAAAATTAGGTGTGTTACAGTTTGCTATAATAGGTTGAAAAGCGTTTGGTAACAAGTTTATCTTTTGAACCTTAGGTTTCTTGCCACACAATTATTCTGTATAGGAAATTTCGTTGTTTTGGGGACGGGGGTTAAAAGTTTTGAAGTTCTTTCCGAAGTTAAGAAGGAAACATTTGCTTGTAATATTTAGGATAGTTAAATATGCTGTTATAATTAACAGTGTCAGTGGTGTTAAATGGTGTTAAGTGAGCTGTTCTACGTGTTTATACCAATATTCACGTGGTCACGTGATAGGATTCATTCGAAATTTTAATTGTAACCCTAATTTATCAAAATCCTACTTCTGTTTGTAACATAGTTACAAGGATAATGTAAACTTTCATGTACGATGACTGTTATTTGCCAGATAGTACTAGTTTCTTACATGACTCAAGCACAACTGACAACCACTGACGAATCGGTGTTGAGAACATATAAAATAACAAAGTGCTTTTGAACATCAGGTTCTACTTCAGATTAGGGAACTTAAAAAGCAAGCAAGTTATAACAGATATTCCTCATATTGAATGAAATCGTAAATATATAGATTGTGCTAACACACTCCTTGTTTATAGATTTTTATCTCTAAATTTTTTTTCAGTCATAGCTTTCTCTATACTAATTAACGTGAGGAGAACGTAACACGAGTCTCTAAAGTATTATAACTTCTAATTTCCTCAGATACGTCACTCATTGTTTCCTGTAGTTATTCACGTGAGAGAAAAATTGCTCAGGTTCCTACTGTATAATATTACTCCCACCTCCCCCATACATCAAACACCTCTTTTTTTGGTTAACATTCCTATTCATTATTTGAATACTTTACCATTTTGTAATCCATAGGTTTCGGTCTTATTTATTGCTATTATATTAATAATAGATCTACACCATTGGAATTATTGAATAATATCTCAAGTAAAACACGTCAGACTTCAACATTCTTTTTTCTAAGTCGGTGTTTACTTCGATACAGTTTAAGGGGCATTTATATAATTACATTTCTGTTCCTGATATAACACAATAGAATACAAAGCTTTGATTTTTTGATACTCTATCACTCACCTAAATGCTTGTGCTCTTAATAACTAAGTTCGAAGTGAAAGATGAAAAATATGTTATTGTATTAAAATTACAACCGTTTCTTTAAGAAACTGCCAATATAACACCGTATGAAAACATTTATTTTATTTTGAAAAATTATAACTGTTTTTACGCTCACAATTATAGCAAATACAGAGAGCAATGCTTTTGTATTCTTCGATTGTGACCTATCTATTTACATTAAAAGTCACGTACTAATTAGAGATTGTCTTTTACTGGTATAAAGAAAAAGTTTTTTTTCTTCTATAATTCCTTAGGAAAGAAATATATATCATTTTCATCTGTGATAGAATGGCTTATTAGTGGGTAGTAGCTTTGTAATTACGCTTTATACCTGATGTTGAATGTTATGATTGATTTTTGTATCCAGGAAAAATTTAGGAACATATATATATATATATATCCCTTTTATCACGTTCGTTTCTGATTGGCTTATGTTGTAAACGATAATCGATTGTCTAGTAAAAGGATGCTGCGTATTCGTTATTGTAAATTACTGTGAATTTCAAATCAACCAACTACAGTTAACTTATAAATTAATTATAAATAGATAAGGGAACTACTTTATCTGGCTGAGTTCTTACAGTAAAATTTGGTTTGGTAAGTCAGATATGAGCATTACTAAAATTATTTTAATTGATGAGTAACATGATCAGAAAATTAGGCTATAAACAACTCTTTTTTTTTCTCTCTCTTTCGGCCACAAATTGTTTTTCATCATAATACTCATCTTGTCTTTTCAAGCTAGGCACAGTGAAAACTTTTCTCAGTCATTGAATCTGGAACAATTTTTAGTGTTGAAAACCCAGTTACACTCTTCTTCTAACACCAATATCAGGTAAACAGCTTTTTTTTTTATACCTCAAACCAAAGAGTGTTGCTGCTCTAGTTCCCACGCCCTTGTTATCAGTATTAGGCTTCTACAAGATAAATGAAACGCTGTGTTCAATTCTGACTCGAAAAATATAATAGACATGTTTGTAATAGGGTGTTAAAAGCGTTCGAATTTTAACTTGATCTTCCTTTATTAATTTGTGGCTGATGTTCACTCCGTTAAGTTAATTCTACTGATTGTTTTTAAAGAAAGACTTGAGCAAACAGGGTTTCATACAAAATATGTTCCTACGTATATTTTTTTATTTGTTTGTGATATATTTTAGTAACTGCCGTCTTATGTTTAGCATATATTGGATAATAACTTTGAGACCGCCTGACAACTAGGCTTTGAGTGCTTGTGTAAACTACCCCACCATGCGTAACATTTATCTACTGGGCTCTGAGTGCTTGTGTAAACTGCCCCATCATGCGTAATATCTGTCTACTAGGCTTTGAGTGCTTTTATAAACTGGCCCACCGTAGGTAACGTTTGTCTAGTAGGCTTTGAGTGCTTGTATAAACTGGCCCACCATGTGTACCTTTTGTCTACTAGGCTTTGAGTGCTTCTATAAAATGATCCACCATGCGTAACATCTGTCTACTAGGCTTTGAATGCTTGTATAAACTGGCCCACCATGTGTACCTTTTGTCTACTAGGCTTTGAGTGCTTCTATAAAATGATCCACCATACGTCACATATACTTACTTAACTAAAAGCAATCCCGGAAGTTTAGAAAACTGCTAGACTTGAGTGAAGCAGCCCAGGCATAGACGCTTATTTCCTTGTGCTTTTATTTTGGCCTCATACTGTGAACATGTATTTTGTGCAAGCGGCATGGATATAGAAAGGTACATTATTTGATTTATTTGCATCGTAGTTTGACGGTGGCGTACCCTATTATTTACAATATATATATATATACTTGGTGAGTTCTGATACCAGAGCATACTTCACTAAATTGTAGAGACACGTGTTTGTTAAACTAATATAAATAAATATACATATATATATATATATTAAAATCGTTACTAAGTACATAAATATACAAGGTTGTTGTAAAGTACGTATTGTTGCCTGTTTCCTTGTTGTCTTGAACTTGGTGACACTAGTGTTAACATAAAACCTTAATGTTCCAAGACGTAAACATCTGTATGATGCATGTTATTAATAACTAACATTAAATCTCTATAACTCAGTCATCGTACAGGTACGTTTAAACTGTAGTATTATTAAAGTTTCATTACTGTTGATAGTGTGGTGTAGTTTTAGTGGAAAGTATCACGGAATAAATGTAATTTGAATGTTTTGAATGTTGTACAATTATCTTTAATAGGCGCACACACCTGCAATAATTTCCATATTTGCAATACCAATCTAAACATTATTGGCCTGGACTCACACCACTATTAAGCAATAAGATTTACTTGAGTCTGTTTATTTTGAATGTGGATACGAAATGTACCATTTTCATGTTGTTTCTTCCGTGCTGTTATTTCAACTCTTTGCACAATTGGCTCTTTCTTCATTTCTAAATGTTACCAATAGTGTTTCAATGCTGAAATTTGAGATGAGAAGGGATAGAGTGTTAGTATTTTTCACCACGGTGGTGATTGGGTACACTTTCGTATTTTATTCCGTAAAGATAAATTTTTTTGTTGTTATTCTTGTAAAAATTAACACTATAGCCTAGTTAGTTGAAATACATTAAAATTGTTTCAAAATATGGGTATTAACCATTAACCAAATGTTAATAAGTAATAATCAGTTTATATTATTTATTCTGTCAGTGTTTAAAATTATTTTGATAGTCTAACATGTCTTTGAAATATTCTCATGAATTGAAAATTGAAAAAAGTAGATAAGCTGATAATCTTTACAGTGATAGTAAGCTAATTCCACAAAAGTTTTCGTCGAACATAAAATAAATTCACAAAAACACGATGATCCACAAATGTATCTAATATGTATCACAGTACATAACAAAATTCATAACATCACCAACAGGGAACTTCACTTTCTATCCATATTCTTTAATATATATATTTTGTACTATATTTTAATTATATATATATATATATATAATGAGAATATATTTTTCATTATTAGCTGAGTATATGGGCTTAGGACTATCCTAAAAAATCCTAAGCTGGTGAAACTTCATGAGATATTGCTGGGTTTACGTCCGAAATTGTCGATAACACCGAGGGCACCCAAATGATGTGTCAATGCATCCTGGTCATTACAAGTTTTTAGTTTTATGACATTGATTAGTTCCAATTGGACCAAAATATTAAATTAGTTACATTACTTTCAGAGTTACCTTTTTAGTTCTAATTGATTCAGGTTATTTGCTTTGATCAGAAGTTATTGATAGTATATCATCTTGTATTAGTCCATCTAATATAGATGATAAAAAATGTACTCTAATGGAGCTTTATCTGGTTCTATCTAACATTTTTAACATTAACCTCATTAAACTTCAGATTAAAAAATCTGACAGTAACAGAAGTTAATATTTCTTCTCTCTTTATTTTTACACTGAAGTAAGTTAATATCGTTAACTTTCCTTTTTTACAACTTTTAACTTCTCAAAATCATGACAGAACAACTTACTTCGGCAACGCCATTACTATACTAAAATCATAAAACTGTGTAACATTGTGTTATTGTTATAATATTTACCAGCAAAGAATTACGTAGAAACAGTGCTATCCTCATTTTTAGTTGTTTTTTTTTACATTTCAAAGTACAGCGCAGAAAGTTAATCTAGTGATTCTTATTGTTTTAACATTTACTTTAAACCGCAATAAACGTGGTTATGCTGATTTTTTGTTTTTATAATACTATCTTTCTAAATCACAGTTAAGTGACATATCCACCATAATGAAACAATTCAACAAATCAACAAATCTCAGTGTTGTAATATATATTTCTCAAATCTTTATTGAAACAATTTATTATTGTCTTTTTTCACTTTCACACATGATTTATTTTTGCTCTCTATTAATACTTTTTTTTATCGTGGTAAAATAATTCCAACATTGTGACTGTCAACTTGACACATTTAGTTATTTCTAATCTAAACGGGGCTGAGTGTGGCTCAGTAGTAAACGTGCCAGACTGTATGTTTGGGGGTCCACGTTCACTTTCTGTTACCACAGATACACAATCGCGATAAGCATTTTTGAGGGCTGGGTGCATTATAAGGATGGCTTTCAAATCTTACTATCTGATCAGAAGAAAGTATTCTAACAGCTGAATGTTAAGACTTTTGTGTTGATGGTAACTCCAAATACCCCATGCTTTTCTTGGCCTTCAGGTATTCTGTAATAAGCTTGAAGGCTTATAACACTAAAATTCGTGGTTCGATCCCTATGATGGCCACAACGTAGATAGTGCACTGTGCAGCTTTGTTCTTGAACAAAAAGAAACACACTTTCTTTGCAATATATTTCAACGTTTGAGAATTTATAAATGTCTTTTTTCTTCTGTACTGACCTAGTCTAAATGGAATGAGTTATAAATCTTTTAACTTCATAGAGACTATGTTATGTGTATGGACGTTTTGAGAATTATGTTGTGTAAGATGAAACAAAGTGTATGGATATTTTGATTAGGAATGAAATGATATATTAACATTTACTGGTGTGTAGTGACAGTATGGTATTCGAGTTACCTTTGCCTGTATAGTCAGTCAGCTTGTCTGTTTGGCGGGGAAACCCGTAAAATTTCCAATAAATTTCTTAATTTTTGAAAATACAAAATAAATACGAGGAAAAGAAGTATGATAATAAAGAGTATTAACTAATTATAAAGGTAAATTTTACGAGTGAGAAATTGATAACTTTGAAGATAATTTTGAGTTTTCCATACTACCATGTAGACCATGTAGACGTCAAATTAATTTTTAAAAGGTTGCTTGGTGACTTAATGCCCATTTAAGAGTAAGCATTTGTTTGACCTGTTTTCTATTTCCAAAAAATCATCATGATTTATCGCAGTATGTATTGATATCGTCTTCAGTGCATCGTGATTTGTATCGTAACGAAAATGGATCACTGCTACACAGCTCCAGTTTTGAGAATAATAGAAACATTGTTATGAAATATGTGGCAAAGTTTGATACAAGAATGTTAATTACTCTATCCAGTTGTAAAACACCATAGTTTTATATAAGCATTTGCTGACTAATATTAATTATTGAATTTTAATCTAAAATATGGATTAAATGAAAAACGCCGAATAGACATAAGCTGAAAAAGATTTAGAATATATGCTATTGTTTAAATGTCTTTCCATATCTTATCTGTATAGAATTTGCTATTTTGTTGTTAATTGCGTTTAGAAATTAAAAATGGTCCCCCAGTGAGTTCTGCAGTAAGTTTACCGATTTACAATGATAAAATCTAATACAAACAAACAAAAAATTGCATACGGACCGGTATTAATCAAAAATGTAATATCCAGAACAATAATCTAATTTCATTCGAAACTAGGAAGAGTAAAAGAAAAAGTTAACAAATTAAAAGTTACATAAGTGCTTTTCTGATTATAAATCTTTGTGTTTGGATTTCCTGTATAATTTTTGTGTTTATATCAGAGTCTACCGTAATTTATCAAGATGTATGTGTTTTAGTTCTGGATAGAAATGTATTTTCGAATTCAATATTATCTAAAATGGGACTAATATAATATTTGTGTTTGGTTTTAATATCCGTTCTGAGTTAGCTCGAAAGATGTATTGGTTTCTTTAGAATAGTCCATCTTAGGCTTGTATTAAGAGTTTCTTCCATTGTTCCTTCTTATGGCAATAGATCTTATTGAGATTATAAATGGAATTATTTCTCCAATTTATATGACCGATCGTATCAGTGTCGAATGTTTGGATACTTTTTGTTCAGAATTTCTATAATATGAAATTAAAACAATACGTCCTAAAACTTTTACAGAGTCGAATAAAGAATAATTTACTTGTTTTATTTCATTTATAATAATCTTCATATTAAAATGTCACAACAAATAGTCTTTTACGTACCTGATATGGAGCTTTTGCTTACAAGTACTATTTATCATAGTATTTACTGATGTTTTTGTCAAGATATGAATAAATGAACAAAAGATGGTAGCCATAAAGCCCTCAAAACAGCGAAATAATATGAATAAATAATATCTAATAGAGTTCACACTCCTTCTCATAACGGCGTTGTATATGGTAAACTAATATTTCGTAGCCCAAGTTCTGCCTTTAAAGCCTTTAATTAGTGAGGACTAACTCTTCTTTAATAACTTTTTTATCTATATACTATGGTTAAGTTTTCAAACAGTAATTTCTGTATTGAGATGTAAAAACACAAAACAGGCAGTACTGATATGAAATAAGGTTTTAACATGTCTTGTTATTGTACGCCTGTTTCTTAAAGCTGAATGTTTAATTGAATTAATTCGTTTTTCCTGTGATTGAGTAAATCAGGGAATTTGCTTGATTTTAATGCAGCGTGTACTGTTGTTGTATTACTAATTGTCGAACCTATGTATTTCCTGAAGCTTAATCCAACGTGTTCTGTTCTTGTACAGAACTAATACTAAAACCTAGATGTTCATTGAAATTTATTCCAAAATGTTTTACTTTTGAGTAACTAATCCTTAAACATTAATATATATTGAGATTTAGTACAAAGTGTCTTGTTGTTGCGTAACCAATCACAAACATAGTTGAATCCGGCATTACGTGAGAAGAATTATGAATTCAAAACTGAAAATTTCTGCTATATTAGGTAAATATTACTAGAAAAACTGCATTAACGAAAACAACAACAACTAAGCCAGTAACGAGTAGGTACTAGGCTAAATGGCAATGCAAGTATTATTATTATTATTATCCTAAGATAGTAATTTTACGGTGTATAGATAGTTTGATAAAATTGTTTAAACTTGAATAAATTATAAGTGCAGTTAAAAGTTATGAATTATTATTATTATTTAGCTATTGAACTATGATACCGGCTTATTCTTCATGTGATTTTGAAAACTAATAATATTTACCGTAAAATACTTATATATTTTAAAGTAACATTAAATGCCATCTACCGGATATTCATAAAACCATCTAGACTGAAGTTTTTAAAAATAATCCAGTCTTAAACTGGCCTTTATTTGTAAGTTTAAGTAAATTATGCGCACTCTGATTATTATGTTGTAATTACTTACTTTATCCTCCCGTAGCCTCAAATTCATAGACCGTCCACCAGTTTGAGCCATTTATCTTGGCTATAGTTATCTGATGTTAATTATATGGGATTTAATCCAATTGTTTGCTTGTTGTTTTGAGTAGAAAATAATAATAAACTGTTTACGTAATAGACACACTGAAACCAACAAACAACGCGCGCGCACACACACACACATGTATATATTTACATTATTTGCCAATTAATTGCACTAGACTCTTTGACTTCGATATGCACCCGTTAATTAACATAAGAAATTTCGTGAATTCAGTAAAAAAAATAACAAATTTTCTGAGATAACAAGTCTACCTAAATCTGATAGTTGTCAGCATCAAAGATAAAAGACATAATTGATCTCTCTTTTGTTTTTATTTTCTTGATGTCATTCTACTATTTTCGGGGAAGGTCGGACGTTTCATAGATATCAGGAATAACTGGAAACTCTACCTCCGTA